TATTACTGTTTTAATTAATTTATATATTTATTATTATTAGTATTATTATTTATTCTCACTTTGCGACATGAATCATACTTAAATTGTCAGCTCATTCTATACTACAGTAGTTTATCACTTTTTAAACTGTCAGACCCTTCAATACAATATGTACTGTGCACATCATTATACTTTGCTTTAATTTGTCATCTAACTGTATAGTTCTTCTCAAATCTTGCTACTTTTATTTCATACCTATGCTACTAGCTCTAAATGTTTTTACTTCTCGTAAATATGTTTTATTGTCGGTATATAGTTTATTAGTTAATGTTTCTTGTAATTTGTAAACCCACTTAAAACAAGAGCCCGGTTTGAGCCGGGTGATGCTCCCCAAATAGGTTTTGGACACAGGAAAGTACACCTCTTGTAGTTTCAGAGTTATGTCCCTGGAAAAAGTTCAAAGTGCAATAATTCCAAAATTAGGCAAGGCAGAGTTACTGTTCTTTGCACTGCACTTCTAATCAATGTGATCTATCAACCTACAAAGTTTCTTGATGATAACTCTTATGATTTCCAAGTTATATCCAAGACAACTTCAAAAAGTAAAAATAAACAAAGGGCAATAACTCCAGAATTAGGCACTGCAATGTTATGATTCTTGCTCACTGCACATCTACCCATTGAGATGTATCTACCTACAAAGTTTCATGTTGATTTCTCTTATAGTTTTACAGCTATGTCCTGGACAAGATTTTTCTAAAAGGGGAGATAATTCAAAAATGAGGCTTAACAGTTATGGTTCTTTTGCACTGCACCTCTACTCAATGAGATCTATCTACCTACAATGTTTCATCTTGATATCTCTTATAGTTTTAGAGTTGTGTTCCGGACAAAGTTCAAAGTGATAAAATTAACAAAGGGCAATAAGTCTAAAATTAGGACAGAAAGAGTTATTGTTCTTATGCACTGCACATCTACCCATTGAGATCTATTCACCTACAAAGTTTCATGTTGATATCTCTTATAGTTTTAGAGTTATGCCCCAGACAAGATTTTTCTATAAGGGAAGATAATTAAAAAACCGGGCAAAATAGAGTTATGGTTCTTTGACACTGCACTCCTCCTCAATGCCCTCTACCACTGTATGAAGTTTCAACAAATTATCTCCAAGGGTTTTCAAGTTATGCTCCGGACAAGACAACAGACGGACAAGGCGCCGACTATATGCTCCCCCCGAAATTTTTTGGGGAGCATAATAAAGTACATGTAAACCCTGTCAGAGAAATGAGCAAGAAAATTATCTTAATTTGTTGATTAAGACTCTAAATTTATGCGCTCTAAAGTAAAGTATTTCCGTACCTTTTCTTTTCATTTGACCCCTTATCATCTCCATTATTCCAGTTCATCCATATATCCCTTTTCTGTCATTTTTATTTTTGTAAGTGCATATCTTAATGTTCTTATTTCAGTCTTTTAGTTGTCCTTATTAAATTGTTACAGTTAAAACTGAATTTAAAATAAGCAATGAATTTGTTGTTTGTGGTTTTAGTTTGTCCCGTTTATTGCGATACCATAATGTATGCCATGCCTGTCCTTGTGGAACTGGCTATTTTGGATATACGTGCGTGTGCGCGCGTATGGATTTGTCTCTTTATGTGAAAGTTGCTAATCTTCCTTTGTTGGCCTTCACACTTATATTGTGTTTTCAGTGATAGTGAAATTGTTCTTGTCTTATTCAAACGCTTTATTTTGACCAATTGTTCTTTATTTCAAGGTTGTCTTGATTTCTAAAGTGGCTTTTTTTTAATTTTCTGAAAATTTATTAAAGCTACGTGCGTAATAATTTATGAAAATTGTACCTCCTATGAAGCAATTTCATATACGCATTGTTCAGCTACAGTCATAATTGTAAACGACTTCACAATATTGAATATCTTGTTCAACAGGATCATATTTTCCTAACATGTTCAATGTTGGAAGCTTATAGAAACCCCCGTTTATCTGCTCCTGGGACTAACCAGTACTACAGCAAAGTGAATAAAGCTTCTTGCTCATTTCCCTGACGGGATTTACATCCACATGGCCAGCAAGGCCAACGCGTTAACAACATCCGCGCCACTTTTACTATTTAATGTTGAAAATTTCAAACTTATGAATGTAAGAGATATTGCGCTTGTCATTTTTCGAATGAACACAATCAATCAACTTGATTTTCATGTAAACTCTTTTCCTCTGTTTCAATTATTCTTATGGGATTCCTCATTTTCAGAATTTCTGAGATTTGGGCGTGACTCTACTGAAATGTATTTCTATCCAGACATAAAGAAAAGAAAAGAAAACAAACATGGAATTAATAAATAGAAACACATATTTACTTCAAACAAAACATAAATCACAAAAATATTTTTACACATAATCAATTATTCACAACACTTTTCGTAAACAATTGAAATATTTTTTAAAAAGTTATGTACATTTTGTAAACAATATATGTAGTAATTTGAAATAGATATGAAGAAATTTATAAATTTATTGTTTTAACAGATCTTAATATTCATATAAAGGTCAAACACTATGCTTATTCAAGGTAGTACATAAAGTGTATTGAAACTGAGGGGCGTGGGTTCAAACCCCAGAAGGGGCAACTTTTTTTTTCTTTCTTTTTTTTCTTTTTAACATTTTTTATTAATCTCTCAGATCCCTAAAGGAAGTAAAAAGTGTTTCATTTTAATTATATAATTTTTGTATGTATTTATGTACTAAATAATGCCAAATTTAATAGCAAATATGATACCAGATATTTTCAAAGTTTAATAAAATAAAAAACTACACGGTAAAAGTATTTTATATTTTGCAAAACCAACCAATATACATTTAAGAAAAGTTAGGCAAACTTTGAAAACAGCCCATCATGGTGGAATTTAAAAAAGGCTTTTGACACATGGAAATGGTCAAATAAGTGTGTTAAAAGTGGATGGGATAGGGTTACATTTTTATACATATTAAAAACATTTCGTTTAAAAACAATCATTTTGCTTGTTTAATTTGTTACATAAATGTGATTATTTGTTTCTTAACAATGAGCAATAGGAAAACAATTTTCATAATGATGATATTATAGATTATTTAGAGTTTCCTCATTTCTGAAAAAAGCCCTTCTAATGGCAAAGTTTTAGTTCAGAAAAATGTCCATAACTCATAAACCACACGCTAAATTTTGTTTAAATTTTGCATACAGGTGACATTTAAGGCATATAACTGTCCTATGTTGTCAATTTTACAGTTCCTTATAGTGCCCATTAGGGGTGTACTACCTTAAAGCCACATGACTCCAGATGAGCCAAAATACTTTAAGAAAATCAACCTTGAGAAAAATGTACTAACATATTTAGCAAAGTACAATATTCACAATTCAACAAATAATTTTCCTGTTTTTATGCAATTAATGACTAATTTTGAAATATTTATCACTATATTTCTGCTGTGTGCCTTAGGCAGTAAAGGCTATTTTGACATATTCTGACCTAGTTGTGGTAATTTTTTTTTCCGCAGACTTTAAGTACTGTTTGTAATGCATAAATTGATTTCTTTTTATTTCACTTGACAATATTTTACTTTTAATTGCATTTTAGAAAATTTCATGAAAATGAGCATGAATCTAGAGGCATGCTGCTTTAAAATTGTTGTGGTGATGCATAAAGTAAGTCTCTGCTACTTGATCAGGTGACAATACCATGATTTTGTGACAATATCATGATTTTTATCTGTTGGTGAAATGTTTTTTAAAGCAGCACACCTCAAAATGATTTAAGTTCTACAAAATAATATAAACTGTTCAATCTAGTGTACAAAATATGTAATTAAACACATTAAATCCAAAAATAATTTACCTTTAATCAGTCAAAAATATATGAAAATCATTATCCTTCTCAGAATGTTAAATTTATTTAATAAAAATTGTAAATTATATTTATTTTATATACGTAAAGTTTGCAAGCTTTAAGTTCCACTTGGATTGTGAACATCTCAAAAGCAATATATATATTTATCGTAAGTTTTATTATTTTTTGAATATTTATTTTAATCATCTAAGGATGTTTCCCTTTACGGCAATCACTATATTTTTAAATAAGTAAAGTCATTTTGAGGTGAGACTTTACCCTGTTTGGTTTTCAAATGTAATTTTAGTCTTATGTTTTAGACTCGGGATTTTCTTTGAAACGCATACCAGATGACCAAATTGCGAATAATATTCAAAGGAATCAGCTCTACAATTTGCAGGCAAACACTTGAATATAGTTTTCAACAATCATAACATATTAATAGTATGGTCTACACATAGATATTTTATCAGTATGACAATTAAAGTAATTAAAGATGGTAAATTTCAATTGTATGATATTCAAGAACGTCCATACAGCTCTTTGTGCATCTTAAACTTTATCACAATGGAGAACCATTATAAGTACATGTTTCATTAAACAAAAGTCTTTATTTATTTTATCACTTTTAACTTGTTTTATGTACAAATATTTATTGACGGGTGGACGTAGTATTTTAGTGGTATGGGGGATTGTGAGTATCAAAATTAGACCTTACACTCTTTGAAGAAATGAACATTATCTGACATTAACATACAACCGTACATGAACTAAGCCTGCAACATTTTGCCATATTGGGTAGCCTTGACAGCCCCCCCACTCCTCTGAAAATCACCCCCATCCCCCTCTACTTTTAAACTTATGCTTCAATTATAATGCATTTAATTCAATAATAATGCATTTATTGTTGCATTTTAATTAAAACATAAGCTTAAAACTACATTTAGCAAATTTGCAAACAAGTTGTGGGGGGGAACAAGTGTCTATGTCATATTTCCGCCAGGGGATCATGTAGGGGCACACATGTTATGATGCACAAGTCTCTAGAGGCACTAGTGTCCTAATGGGCCTGCGGGAAAAATGTCCTGGTTTGTTATTCTCATATCAAACAACACAATGTCTTTGGTTACATGTATTGTGTTTGCTTTGATGCTTGACAGCTTAAAATGCAATAACATCAAGCCCAATATGAGGACTGGTACACCAAATATTCTTAATGAACTTTCATCCTGGACTGGTTCCAAGATATTTTCTAGCATTCAGAATTGGTCTGTGATTTGATAAATTTTTTCTCTTGGAACACTTGTTACAATTCACTCTTTGTACAACTTTGGGTTTCTTTGGTACAACTTTGGGTTTCTTTGGGAACTTCAAATGAGATCTTTGGACAGTTTACCATATTCTTACAAAATAGTTTCTCTAATGTAGCTGTTTTCACTAAATTAAATCCCACATCTCCGCCAAATGTTGATGGTTTCCAATACTGAGGACTGCATATAGGTGCAGATAGAAGTCCTTTCACAGAAAATGGCCCACCTAATTCTATCACAGTTGATCCAAAGATTGCTTTTGGTCTAGTTTTTTCTACAACAATACCCACATAGAATTCTACAGCATCTATATCTCCATATATTTCTTCCAAGTCTTTAGCTACTTCAGTATCTCCTGAAATGATAAAGGAATTAAATGTAAATAAAACTGTAAAGAATAAATTAGAGAAAAACTAAATCCTTAAAGAAAGTCCAGCCACGACAAAATTGAAAATGTTGCAGGCTCCTTTTGATTGAGCCTGTTCATGGACAGTACTGGAAAGTGCAAGTTACGTCCGCGCATCCTAGCAGCGGCTTAAGCAGAATTCAACATTTAACACGAAAATGGTGAAGTTTTGAGATTTGTTCATTGATAACTGCGGAATATTCATATGACTGCTGAAGAGACATTTTACAACATGTCCTTTTTCTAACAGTGTAATATTTATATATTGTATTTGGATGGTTTACAAGCACACAAACTAAACAAGACCCAAAGGATGGTTTATATATTTTATTATATGTGTTGCATCTAAGTATAAACTCACATTTTATCTGCAAGTAAACTTATATATAGTAACAATAACAATATTTGATATCAAAGGCGTGGCTTAATCTATCTTGCTTACTTCAAACAGGGCCAATAATAATCTAACTTTAATCCTCTTTTTTATTTCCTATTTTTAAATCAAATTATAAATGTTAACAATAATTGTTTTTGAAAACAATATAATTGCAAGGACTATTAATTTGGTTACTTATTTTCAGAGTTGTAACCTTTTGTTTTTTTGTTTTTTTTACGTTCTAACCTAAAACCTCCTGAATAATATAAATGAACTTGTCCTGCATCTGTATTTTGAACTTTCCATTATCAACTTTGGGGGTATCAAGAAGATGAAAATTTAAAATTGGTCAGCCAACAGTAAAGAGACTGGTGAGTTTGCATGGTTGTGCAAACTGAAAATTACCACCATATATTTGTACACAAAGACTATAAATTATAAAAACAACTCACCGGTCAAATCTTCAAATGTTTGATAAGGTGGTAAACCAAATCTTTTTCTATATTGATTAAATGACTGGTATCTAAGGGACCTTCCATGTAATATAGTCTGCTTGGCTACAGGAAGGGTGTACTTATTGTGATTATGATGAGTAAACTGAAAATAATAAATAAAATACATAAATAACATAGTCCTTCAAATAAAACAAAATGACAATAATTTACTTTATTATATACTTATAAATGAAATATTGAGAAATATTGATGAAATAAAATGCGTATTTTCATTTTCCGTATTTTCACTGTAAAAATTTATTTTTCACTGCAGTGAAACATATTTTCCGTATTTTCACTGGTGTCTTGCCGGATTACTTTCTTTTAAATTCTGCCAGTATACAAAATTTAAGGGAAAGTCTTTTACATTTTAATGTCAAAAAAAGAGAAAAATGTATATAATAAACAGAAAATTCAAGTTTTTTCTATAAATATATGATTTATTTTCATCTTGTGGCATGAAAATTACCATATTTCACTCGTGGCTACCGCCACTCATGAAATATTTATTTTCATACCACTCGATGAAAATAAATCATGTATTTATAGAAAAAACTTGAATATCCTCTATATAAAATGATGTTTTTGTATCACAAACAATTAAAGTTTCATAATATCAAGCATATTGTTCAAAGGAACATGTGCCCCCAAGGGGGATTGACCCTTGTGACCTTTAATCACATGACCTCTAAAAGGTCAACAAGATGCATGATCCTCTAAAGATCAGAGGCTGTAGGTGGAAAGACATGTTATTATCAAAGTTAAATTTTAGTGACAGACAAACAGACAGACAGTCAAATAAACAAACAGACAGACACAAAACAATATATTAATTCTCTCAATCTATTTATCCTTAGCTGGCTTTATTAGTATAAGGGGAATTACTTTTGATGCACTTCATTGACTTTACATCAGTTTACCTCCCTTGGATTTATTTACATTTTGTAATTTTGTTCATATGACTTTATACAATTAAAGGTAGTAATAAATATATTAAGTTAAATGTTTTAAATTACTAAATATGACCCTAATAATACTTTAATATTTCAAATTTCTAAATATGGTAAGACATTTACTTCAATATGACCTAAGATGACTTATTAAGGCACCTAAGTAAGAGTCATAAGCCATTGTAATCTGCCAATGGCTTGGTTGTTAATGATTGGATACATTTCTGATCATATTACTATTCATAGTTCAAATTCATGTAAAAGTGAATACATAATTAAATAGTTTTTTCAAAATAATCACAAACCAAGCCGCGTAAATAAAAATGTATACTTACAGCGCCGGCTCTCTGATGAACGAGCCCGTCAACAAAATCTCTCATTCCATGTTTTAACACTATATCAGGACGGAAGAGGAAGTCTTTTACTGTGTAAACAGTCCCAGAGATGTTAAACTCCTCCGGCATCAATGGATGCCAATGATACATGTGATTAAACTCGGCAGTAATTCGGTTAGAATACTGATGAGACTGCCCGAAAAGTAGTTCCGGCTTAAAAGTCAACTGGTAATTGTAATTACTTAAATGCTGTACATAGTTTTCTACAACAATCTTTATTGTTTCACCTGGAAAAAAAAAGAAAAAGATTTTTTTACAAGAAATCTGTTCATTTGTTTATCATATAAAATGGTCTACATAAAATTGTGACATATTTTGCAGCTTTAACCACTCTACCTGACTATAAACTTAAATGTTTTAATATATGAGTAGATACCTTTAAAGTGCATTGCTCTATAATGAAAGGTCTGTGATATACTCAATAAGTTTCTTGCTCAAGGAAACAAATGGCTTGCCTCCCAATGGGTTTGAACCCACGTGGCTATATTTATCTACCAAAACTGCTCGCAATTCTTAGATTACTTGAATGATGAACTAACCACTCAGACATGCTGCCACTAACAATAGATGACCAGAAACCTTTTAAGTTAAATAATATTACCTAAAATAATTAATTTGGCAGTTTGAAAAAGTCTTTCATCATCCCATTCTGGATGCTCTCCCTTTAATATATCACAGACACGATTATGTTCCCTCATCCATATTGTAGCATACATAAATAGTCCGGGCAATAAACCAAAATCTTTATGTCCGAGGGCAAACTGTATTTCCTTGGGTACACTTGGAGGATAATGCATTGGCACATCCAAATCTTTGAGGTGAAGGGGCCATGACTCTTCATTTATTGTCTGTAAGAAAGAAAAAAAAAAACATGTTACTTATATTTCACATCAATTTTCATGAATTTCTGAAGCATCAATTGTTATTTTTTCACTTTTTTACAGTTTTGTATTAAATGTTTAACATAGTATATCATATCAATATTATAACTTTTCCTGTTTGTACAGCTTCTTAGAATCTAAACAATTATTTTGTTTGTTTATGGTGTTTAAGGTGTTTTTTGTTGTTTTTACTTATTCTATTTGACATTTTTATTCAGAAAATATGTGTGTTCCTGATCGCATATTCTTGTAAAACATATTAACAAATAACTCAAGTTTTAAAATATTTTCGAAGAAAACGGACCTTTTGCAGTAGTTTGTGAATATCAATAATTTAATTTTCTTTTCGTTCTATTGCCATTATAACTCAATTTACTGTCCTATGAAAATTTACAAGTTATTATTTCAGGCACCAACAATAACAGGCTATACTATGTTGTTGTCACTTAACTACTAAGACTAGACTAGCAGACAATAAGAGCATGTTTAAGAATGAACATGTACTCAAAATTTATGAATATCAACTTAAATCTGAAAAATGTGTACATGCACTCAAAATCTATAGTTTTCAATTCATACTGGATAGTAAACAAGAACTGTCGGAGGACAGTAACGCTCGACTATTCGAAAATTTGTCACAAGGGTGTTTCATTGAGTATAATAATGCTTACCTATATGAATACATAAAATTGTCCGAAAAGGTACAAACCCTTCAAGTTTCAATACATTCCCTTCAGTAGTTATGGAGATACAAGCTTACACACAAAAACTTAACCAAGAATTTATGAATCGAAAAAGGGGCATAATTATGCGAAAAAGTAAATCAGAGTTATGGGACTTGTGCCAATCATCTTAGATAATCACAGACAACAAGAGTGTGAAGTTTCAATCCATTCCCTTCAGTAGTTATGGAGATACCAGCTTACACGCAAAAACTTAACCAAGAATTTCTAAGTCAAAAAAGGGGCATAATTATGCAAAAAAGCAAATCAGAGTTATGGGACTTGTGCCAATCATCTTAGATAATCACAGAGACCAAGTGTGTGAAGTTTCAATCCATTCCCTTCAGTAGTTATGGAGATACCAGCTTACACACAAAAACTTAACCAAGAATTTCTAAGTCGAAAAAGGGGCATAATTATGTAAAAAAGCAAATCAGAGTTATGGGACTTGTGCCAATCATCTTAGATAATCACAGAGAACAAGTGTGTGAAGTTTCAATCCATTCCCTTCAGTAGTTATGGAGATACCAGCTTACATACAAAAACTTAACCAAGAATTTCTAAGTCGAAAAAGGGGCATAATTATGTAAAAAAGCAAATCAGAGTTATGGGACTTGTGCCAATCATCTTAGATAATCACAGAGAACAAGTGTGTGAAGTTTCAATCCATTCCCTTCAGTTGTTATGGAGATACCAGCTTACATACAAAAACTTAACCAAGAATTTCTAAGTCGAAAAAGGGGCATAATTATGTAAAAAAGCAAATCAGAGTTATGGGACTTGTGCCAATCATCTTAGATAATCACAGAGAACAAGTGTGTGAAGTTTCAATCCATTCCCTTTAGTAGTTATGGAGATACCAGCTTACATACAAAAACTTAACCACAGGGACGCCGACGCCGACAAATGGGTGACTGCATTAGCTCGATTATTCTGCGAATAGTCGAGCTAAAAATCATGTTTTCTAAATTTATAGTCATTAATTCAATACTGGATAATGTGGACAAGTACTCAAAATCTATATAGTTACCACTTCAATACTGCATAGTATCTGGACATGTACTCTTAATCTACACTTATCAATTTAATACCGAATAATGTTGTCAACAAACAACAATATCAATATTGCACAAAATTACCTGCATTTTTAACTTGCCATCCCCAAAACTTCTTAACATATTTTCTACATGTTTATTTTTACCATATACATGAGATACATCCACCTGAAAGTAAACAATAAACCTGTCATACCTAAAATAATAATTTTATAACCATTTCCCTGCTTAATTCATGCAATGGACAATGCCCTACTTTGAATATAGGACAGTTCAATTATAGATAATAAGGGATGTTAGTTTCCAAGAGCTGTTGGTAAGAGTCAGCAGGCTCGACTATTCTCAGTGCTTGATAGTAACGGAGCCTTGTTAATGTAAAATTTTGAAAGGAAAGAAGCTATTAGTTAAGAGTCAAACATCACATCCTGCCTGACTTTATCATGCTGTAATGGCTACTATTCTAAGGATAAAGTAACTTGTATAGACTTCATTTACATTGTATGATTAAAAATCAAATCTTGATCATTTAATTGGTGTAGTCATAACCTCAATTGGATACTTGTCTTTGTTAAATTAAATCAATAAAGATGATCGGATTATATATATACCTAGATAATATCTATATTATATATGTAAATGTATATGATATCTGTATATTTGTTTCTATTATAATTGTCAAATGAATAGTAAAACTGTCAAATGCACACAAGTGGCTTACTATCTGTATTGGTACTATAAAGGGAGCTTACTCTTGGGCTATCAAAAAGAAAGAAAATCTCTGTAAGTATATGAATAATAAGTATATGTATAAATGAGAGCAATTACCCCATGACCTCCCCACTGGAAGCCAGGACCTCGTTCGAAATCTGTCTTGAAGAACTGGTGCGTAAAATGTTGTGCAAAAAATGTGAACAAAGCATTAGAACCCCGCGGGTCAGGTTTAAACTCGGTACGCTTCATTAGTTTGTCTACTATCATGCCGGCGTCTGGTAGTTCTTTGGCTCCTGAATGAATAAAAGACACTAAATTATGTGGATGTTTTGTCAGAATTATTTTAGAATTTCTTGCACAAAAGGTCTTAATGTTAATATTGATAAACTGAACATGTAAGATGTTGAAATAATAATTGAATTATAATATTTGTTTTCTGAGAATCAGAAAAAGTCTCAAATTGAAGAGGTCACATATTCAATTTTTTCAGATATTCAATAAAAATAATTAAACTTTAAAATTTACTTCATAATTTCATAATCTGTGTGCTCCAGCTGCATGGAATAATAGAATCATAGAATCATTTAGTTTTTTGTTCATTTAATAGCAAGGATATAATATAATAAAGCAAAAATTGTAATATTGAATACAGAAATCTTGAATTGAATAAAAGGATCTACCTTAAATAACATTAAAATCATTCAATTTATAAGATACACAAAATTAATTGTCCATCGAAAATAAAATAGAAAAGAACTTACCTACTACACCCAGGGGTGTCGGACAATCTTTTGGCACCGGGGGCAGGGCACGTGCAAAGTACGATCTGTTGCCGTAAGCCTCATAAGTTATATAATCATGCTCCGAGGTATATGTGGCCGGAGAATCAACCATTGCACCACGTACTGTAGATTTATTAAAAAAAGCTTTATAACAATTACACAATTATCATTCTAAATACAAGGGTAAAGGGTTCAAGCCCTACAGTGGCCATGATATATCATATGATACCACTATCACACTGGTACTGGTCAAGTCTAGGAACATACTCTGGAGTGAATCAAGTGAGCTTCACATAGTCATCAAAATCAAGTCAAAATATAATTATAAAGTCATCAAAATCAAGTCAAAATAAATATATATATTATGTCTGAATACACAAAATAAATTATCAATAATTGTTGTAACAGTATTAACATATTTGAGGATGTATCATTAGTCTAAATTTGAAGAGAGTAAAAGGTAGAACCCCTCAGTTATCATAATGAGATCACAGCTTGCAATTATTATTATTAGTGAACATAACAGTAACATTTCCTTTTTTTAAACTCAACACAACCGTTGGCTAGTCAATAAATTATGTCTTCTTCCTAAAAGAGAATTTTAAGTCAGTAGAAAAGTGATTAAGATATTTGTCTCTGAACCCAGGGGCCACAGGTTTGAACCCTGGGTCACAATAATAAACTTAAGAACACAAAGTACTGGTTTGCTATAAAAATAAGACTCAAAAGACAAGAGAAGGGAGAAAAAAATGCAAATGTAATGTTTAAAATGTTTTGATGCAGATAACAACAGTCATCCTATAAAGATAAAACTGCTTGTGGTCTACCAGGAAGACAGGAATACACTGAATTAGGTCTTAATATATCACATCCTAGACATCAAAAGGAAATAAATTGTAGATTGGTTTGACATTTCTAAAGGTTATCTTTATTAGTTTTTATTCCTCTAACTCAAAGTTGTCAAAATTTCAAATTTTATATTTTGTCTCATAACTTTAAACTTTAAACTTTCAGCAATTAATTTTCACTGTTATGAAAAATTTTAATTTAAATGATACTAACTGAGGTAAATGGTTAAATGATACATTCCAAGGTAAATGTTTTTAAAAAAATGATAC